CTATCCGTAACCACCCCACCTCAAAAGACGACTCATTACCACTAAGCACTCTCAACTCGCGCATTCACCCAACAAGAAACGTTTACAATATAACCAATCCTTTATGAGATCATGTGCCCTCACCAAACATATGAAAGAGTGAATATAGAATAGTCCACACATTCAAGTATGCTTTTTAATATAAATTAAGGATATCACTCAATTGAACAAAATTCGTTCACTCTCACAAAGAATTCGTGTGCATCCCGTGGTCGTACCATAAGCTTGCCCGTACTATATATCTCTACTAATCTAAGCTAGCCAAGCTAGGATCAATTATGACTTTAAAGTTGTAATGTAGGCTAAGGTATGGGTAGGATACATTTAGGAATAGTGACTAACCCTCCTAAGCACTGATACACTATACTCACAAATCGAGCACATATTCTTCTCAACCAATTCACTCGCCACAAATCATATACAACATAGCCTTTTTTCATTAAGCACTTCTATACTCCCACTAGCACAGATTGGTAAGATTAGGATGTGTGTGTTTTTCTATATTATTTGACTATCATTTTTTTGTAATTTTTTTCTTTTTTTCTTTTTTTTCTACACACACTCCATACATTAAAATTCATCAGCTAGTGACCTTTTTTCAACTTTAGGGCACTAAAGGGCCCTTTGATGGTTCCACTCGAAAGCTACTCCCCAATCTATCACCTTACTTCTTTTAGCGACTAAGTTCCTTAGGAGGTAAAATTTTAACAATCTCAAATTAAGAACAAAATAGGAATACATCTTTTAATGTGGGTGCCAAAGGAAAGGTCTATAGGCTCAAAGGGGCTAGCAACAGAAAATTTTATCTTCAAGTGACAAGCATATCTATGATCAAGCAAGAAACGCCTACATCATCTCCTGAGTTCTCATCTCTTTCATTCCGTGCTTCCTGAGTGAGCTTAGATTTGATGTCAAATAGCCTTTTAGGAGCCTCTACCACCTCATCATACTCGGGGTATTCTGGCACCTCTCGGGAGAGCATATATTGCGTGAGAATGTTGCCAAAGAAAAACCCCTTAATCTGCCGCCCAAATCGTGTGCGACCATCTCTCCCAACATGATCTCACCCACATTAATGGGTCTCCCAGTCATCAAAAATAATATTACACATAGTCGAGCTCGAGTGCATTCGCTGGTGTGTTCAACTGGCATGAGTCAGCCCTGCACAAAATTCTGCTACACTTTGGCGGTCTTGTTGAAATCAGAGTGAACAATCTGAAGATGGATTTTCCCTACTTTCTGGTCCACTTAGAATTTGAATCAACACCACAAAGAGTGTGACGTATCGCCGTGTATCTTAGGCTTTTGACAAATTTCTGTAACCTCCGCGGGTTAGAGTTCTCAACCCCCTAAAATGCACATAAGGACTGCCTATCTAGTGGCACGTCCTTCCCACGTACATGTGACCCGAACAAGTTTGCATTCCAGTTGATGTACAGTTCCCGCACCATGCTCAAATTTTCATGGTCGGGGCATTCTATGAGTTTGTCCATGTTCAGTGCTCGCAACATATGCCACACAACAAGTGATTGATCAAGTGACTAAAAGGCACTAACTATGCCACACAACAAGTGATTGATCTTGGTGAAGTGAATTAACCTCAATGCAAGCAAGTGGCATATAGTACTTAATTTTTACAACTACTACACTAAATTAGCTAATCCTACAAAGTGCTACAACATACATAATATAGGATACATGATGTGGGCGACATGTGTACAATGAAACCAAGCTCCCAAATATGTAGAATTGTTTCCAAACACCCCACATTTATCCAAATATCATATATAATTACACTCGGTTATTCAGACTTCACCGATGCACAAAATATTCTTTCAAATATTTTAACAAACACCTTGTTCGCATGAAGTGTGTGCAACTTAGTTTAACAATGGTAGAACATGGTGGCCGTCCCAAATTTCAGAGAAGTAGAGGGAATTCTAGTTTACTACTCCGTATACAATACAACCACAAATCAATTTCATCCCACATTCGGGCCACCCACCATAGAACAAGGCTTAAGAAGCAACTTAGGGGCAATTTGGGGATTAGAGCATGTGGGAGGGGGATGTTTATTCTCATCTACCAAATAAAAGAACAAGAAAAAGAAGAAGAAGAATAAGAAGAAAATATACATGTAGGATTCAGGATGAGAGCAAGAAGGAAGCTTGAGAAATTTGAGAGAGAGGAGGGAGAAGGGTCGCGGCAGAAAAAGGTTTGAGAGAGAGAGAGAGAGATTGACGGGTGTTGGGAGTGGAGTGTGATATTTGAGTTATGTTTTAATTTGAGTTGGGAATGTGTATGGGTTATAAGGTGGGTTATAATGTTAGTATAGATAGGTATATGGGTTGGGTTAATGGGTATGAGTATGGGTATTAATCTAATAATTAAAAACAAAACAAAAAAAATAAAAGCTTACCTGCCCCCCAGCCCATCGCCCCACGTTAGGCCTGGCGCTGGGGGACTTTGACATTCTCTAAAGGGAGCCCCAGGCAGTGCGGGGCGCTGGCCTGGGCGCTAATTCAACTTTTTTTTTGTTTTTTATATAACATTCTGATCCCCCGAGTACTTTATATATCCAATTTACATGCTCCACACCATTCTACCTATAATTTCTATGCCTACAAAGAAAATACAAAATCTAGTCTGCTCTAACTAAAAAAATTAAAAAGCTAAGCTATGAAAGCAATAAAAATTGGGTTGCCTCCCAACAAGCGCCTGATTTAACGTCGCAGCACGCCACATAACCTCTCTTAGTCATCAACGAGTACTACTTTGGTCTTCTCACGATCAATGATTCCTTCCCAATAGTGCTTGACTTTGTGTACATTCACTAAAAAGTTTCTTTCACTATGTAAAGCGCGCAACTCAATTGCACTATAAGGAGTGACTCTCACCACCTCAAATGGACCTGACCATCTCGATTTCAACTTCCCAGGAAATAGGTTGAGCCCAGAATTGAACATTAATATATGTTGGCCTGGTTCGAAGTGACGTAATACGCTTGTCATGCCATCTTTTCATTTTCTCTTTGTAATGCTTAGCATTTTCATAAGAGTACAACCTGAACTCATCTAACTCATTCAACTACAAGAGTCTTTCTCGCTCGCGGCTTCAAGGTCTATATTCAACTTTTTAATGGCCTAGTACACCTTGTGTTCAGGTTCAACAGGCAAGTGACATGCCTTCCCATAGACAATATTATACGGCAACACCCTAATTGGTGTTTTGTATGCAGTTCTATATGCCCACAAGGCATCATCTAACTTTGCAGCCCAATCATTCCCATTCACACTCACCGTCTTCTCTAATATTTGTTTTATTTCTCTGTTAGACACCTCAGCTTGTCCACTTGTTTGCGGATGATAAGCTGTGGCAATTCTATGGCGGACTTTATAATTAGCTAGAAGGTTATTCAACAACCGATCGCAAAAATGCGTCCCTTCATCACTAATCAAGGCACGTGGAGTCCTAAACCTCGAGAATATGTTCTTTTTCACAAACGCAACTACCACCATGGCATCATTTGTTGGCAATGGACCGCCTCTGCCCATTTTGACACGTAGTCAACTGCTAGCAAGATGTATTTGTTTCCTCTGGACAATGGGAATGGTCCCATAAAATCTATCCCCCACACATCAAATATATCGACCTCCAGGATGTTATTCAAAAGCATCTCATGCCTCTTTGTGATTGTTCCTGTTCTTTGACATTGTCACACTTGTTAACAAATGCATGGGCATCCATGAATAATGTTGGCCAAAAGAACCCAGATTGTAATACCTTTGCAGCTGTTCTATCGCCTCCATGATGGCCCCCATAATGTGATGCATGACAATCATACAACACTAATTTCACCTCCTTTTCTGGAATGCATCTCCTCATCAACTGATCAGTACATTGCTTGTACAAGAATGGCTCATCCCAGTAGTAGAAGTTCACATCATGTAGAAACGTCTTTCTAGCTTCAGATTCAATTTCAGGAGGAAGTACCCCACTCACAAGATAATTCACATAGCCCGCATACCATAAGGGGAGGTCTTGGGTGATAGCAAAAAATTGCTCATCAGGAAATTCCTCTTTAATTTGTCCACCCTCCTCCACGTGGTCATGATTTTCTAGCCTTGATAGATGGTCAGCTACTTGGTTCTCTGTGCTCTTTCTATCTCTTATTTCTACATCAAATTCCTGCAACAACAAAACCCAACACATCAATCTAGCCTTGGATTCCTTTTTTGTAAATAGATACCTGATTGTTGCATGATCGATATGGACTATAACTTTTGTTCCCAACAAGTATGCCCGAAATTTCTCAAAGGCCCACACAACCACCAACAACTCCTTTTTAGTGGTGGTGTAATTCAGTTGTGCATCATCAAGAGTCTTACTCGCATAGTAGATGGAACAAAATATCTTGTCCTTCCTTTGGTCTAGCACTGCCCCAATAACATGGTCACGTACATCACACATAAGTTCAAATGGTAAGCACCAATCTAGCGCCGCAATAATGGGTGCAACCACCAACTACTTTTTGAGCTCTTCAAATTCCTTCAAGCAGGCATCATCAAAATTGAAGGTTACATCCTTTTTCAAGCAACTTGCACAAAGGAGTAGCAATTTTTGAAAATCCTTAATAAGGTATTGATAGAATCCTGAGTGTCCCAAGAAACTTCAGACACCCTTTACAGAAATGAGTGGAGGTAGTTTTTCAACCACCTCCACCTTCGCCTTATCAACTTTAATGCCACCCCTTGACACTTTGTGATCCAACACGATGGCTTCTTGCACCATAAAATGGCATTTTCCCCAATTCAACACTAGATTTATTTATTCACAATGGGCCAAAATCTTGCTCAAATTCTTCAAACAATAACATAAGAAGACCCAAAGACTAAAAAATCATCCATAAAGACTTCTACAAATTTTTCCACCATATCGGTAAAAATAGACATCATGCACCTCTAGAAAGTGGCTGGTGCATTACAAAGACCAAACGATAGCCGCTTGAAGGCGAAAATGCCATAAGGACAAGTAAAAGTGGTCTTCTCCTGATCCTCTGGGCATATGACAATCTGGTTGTACCCTGAATAACCATCAAGGAAGCAATAATATTCATGCCCCGCCAATCTGTCCAACATTCGGTCTATGAATGGAAATGGGAAGTGGTCCTTGCGAGTTGCTTTGTTGAGCCTTCTGTAATCAATGCAAACTCTCCACCCCGTCATGGTGTGAGTAGGAATTAGCTCATTTTTCTCATTCTCTACCACAGTCATCCCCCTTTTTGGGCACACATTGAACTGGGCTTACCTAGTTGCTGTCAAAGATAGGAAAGATGATACCTATATCGAGCCACTTAATTACTTCATTCTTCACGACCTCCTTTATAATGGGATTTAATCTCCTTTGCTGCTCAACATTGGGACGGTGTCCATCTTCCAGAAAGATTTTATGCATGCAAAATGATGGACTAGTTCCCCTGATGTCAGCAATTGTCCACTCTATAGCCTTTTTATGCTCGCGAAGTACTTTGAGAAATTTTTCTTCTTGTACATTAGTCAAGCTAGATGATATAATCACTGGCAATGTCTCAGAGTTCCCTAAATAAGCATAGTGCAGATGCGCTGGAAGGGGCTTCAGTTCTAGCTTTAGAGCTTCTTCAATAGATGGCTTAGGAGGGGTCATAGTGACAGGCTTGTCCAACTCCTCAAATCTCCCAAACCCATGGACATAACTGCAAGACATGTCAAGTACTTGCTCAATTTCTCTATCACGATCCAAAACCACGTGACCGACACCCACCACACTACCCGACCCTAGCCAACCAAACCATGTGATGCACCCAAATCATATGCATGAAAACCAATTTAACTGCGGAAGCTCTTTAAAAATCATATACAAGTCACACTTCCTTTTTACCCGAAAGGGTATAAGGGAGTTTTTCCAATTAAAGTGACATTATTCGAAATGAGATTATTTATTTAATTTCAGAGTCGCCACTTGGAATAATTTATGGTGTCACAAATCACCGGTTTATTTTTAATCCCAAATCGAGGAGAATTTTAACTTTATTTAAAAGTCTGCAAAACCAGAAAAACTAGGTAAGGAATTCTGTTAATCCGGGATAAGGTGTTAGGCATTCCCGGGTTTCGTGGTTCTAGCACGGTCTCTTAACTATTAATAATTGGCCTAATTATCTGATTTATTATATGTTTTGAACCTATTGTGCATTTTTAACTTTATAATCACTTTTAATTATTTTAAACCGCTTTTAGGATTTATGAAATTATTTCTTGAACAAGTTACGATTGGCGTACACTTGCCGTTTTTTGGAACACACCGCAAACAATGCTACATGAAATGCACCCGCAATTCGTGACATGTTTATTTTATTTTTATTCGAAGTTGTTATAATCGGGTCACATGAAATGCATACCCGCATTTGGAAATTAGGCATCATGACTATGTCACAGGAGCCGTATCCATAATCACGATGGTTTGTTAGTCACACCTAAAGAAAAACTACGAGGTTTAGATTATCTAACACTAATTTTTTGGTTTTTATAAGCAATTGCAGTAGTATCTAATAAAATTGCCAACTATCTTTGGGAAAATCTAGTTCTAATGATTACAAGCCTAAAACACAAGATGAAACAACCCAAATGGTTATTTGGTCAAGGCTAGCCCAGTCGCTACTCTTAAATGACTGGGCCTATTATGCATTTGTGTTTAATACCAATAAAATTCACCCGAAATACACAATTGTTCAAAGCTAGAATTTAATTCATTCCAATGTAACAATCAGAATATGATTCTAGTTTTGAAATTAATTACACTACATGTGATTTCTAATACATAAAAAAGAAATGAGTTTACGTTAGAGTTCAATAGGGTAAGCCCATAACTAGGATCAAGCTATTGGGCTTATTTCCCAAGCACAATGGCCTAGGCGCGGACCCGTTTTTGGTCATTGCCAAACTAGGCCAAACCACAAGTCTGGGCCAAACTGAATCATAAAGGCCCTTGTTTTAACTTTCAGCCCATAGCCTGAACTATTTCAGCATTACAAATTATAATCATAAAGAGAACTACTACTAATTCCTTTTAACAAATGATGATATTAATTAAATACATGGATTCAAAAATCTATTTGACTACAATAAATAATGTAAAGGCATTTAAAAATCAGAAAACTACTTTGTAGTCCTTTAACACATAAATTACTACATTAATAGATAATCTATTAAACCAGAATTCTATTTTTTAAAGGGAAAATATCAACTAAGTCTATTATAATTCCCCTGAAATTAACAGCCTAGTGAACTCTTGCCCCTTTTGGATATAATTGATCCATCAAAGCTCAGTCCACCACATGGAGCCATCAGTTTTAGCATGATATCAATAGCAAAATTTCAGCTTTTGGCCTTAAAACTTGCTGATTTGGCCAACTAGTGACCAAATCCACAAGTTATAGCCCATGAAGCAACATGTCCTCAAATAAACACTTTGTTATTAGTCATATAAACAGAAGAAGAAAGAGATCAACAGTTAATTATTCAGAATTAGTGTTACTATTGCAAAAATTAACTAAAGAAAATACTTCAAACAATAATACTGGAATCAGTATTTCATATTTCTTAAATAGAATGCTACACTAATCAATGTACCAACCAAGTTATGCATGCTAGATTATTTCAAGCTTTAAACTCATATAGCAAAGGATTGATTAGATCTATAGCAATGTAATCAGTAACTACATGAAATGACACTTATTTAACACACATAGTTACAACCTTTTGATATCATAACTGTCACGACCCCAACCCCGGTCATGATGGCGCCCAACACACTGCTAGGCAAGCCCGACCATTCAACAACATTATCCCAAATTCTTATTCAGATTATAGATAAATATCATAGAGAATTTACTAAGTCATTTCATTCAAGTGTATAATTAATAATAAAATCTTCGGAAGTTCAATTAAATACCACACCATATCCCAACAGAATCCGGTGTCACGAATATGAGCCTCTAATACAGAATATCCACCTATTACAAGTCTGTCTAGAAAAAATACGGAAAAAATAGAGATAGAGGGGAGAGATTAAGGCTGCGAATGCCATGCAGCTACCTCAATACTCCCGGATACTGCTGTTCAGCTAAACAAATCCTCACTTAGCCTGTGGTGTACCTGGATCTGCATGCAAGGTGCAGCGAGTAATGTGAGTACTCCGACCCAGTGAGTAATAAACATAAATAAAGGCTGAGAATAAGAAATCATGGAAAAATACAAAGTAAACTATAACTGGCAGTTTAGAACAACAAATAGTAAAGCAACAAGTCAATTAAGTTAGAGTACCAAATACTGAGAGAGGTATAACAAATAAAAACAAATGCATGAGTCCAATGCAATGCATATGATGGTACACTCTAGTGCCCACTGCGGCGTGCAATCCGAGCCATCCATTTATTTATCGTCGACGACGCTCACTGGGGGTGTGCGCAGACTCCGGAGGGGCTCCTACAGCCCAAGCGCAATATCAAGCCATCTCGTGGCATCAAATCTAGGCCCTCGGCCTTATATCAATCTCAGTATAATTACCCAGGCTCTCGGCCTCAATATCAATGTAATCAACCAGGCTCTCGGCCTCAATATTAACATTGTNCACGGTAAAAACATCTCTCGGGATGGACCAAGTCACAATCCCCAACGGTGCTCTACCCCACGCCTGTTATCCGGCATGCAAGTCACCTCAATATAGCATTACGATGTGAAATTCCAGGGTTTCAAACTCTCAGGACATCATTTACATCAATTACTCACCTCAAGATGGTCAAAGTCTAGCTCGTTATGCCCTTGCCTCTCAAATTACCCTCCTCGTGCGACGAATCTGCCCAAAATCACAATGAATATATCGCATTATGCTAAAGAGACAATACCCAATCAAAAGCAATCGAAAAATATCAAAATTCACGAATTTGACAAAACCCGAGCACCGGGCCCACGTCTCGAAAAATCAGAATATTAACATCACCGGATTCCTTGTCTCGCCACGAGTCTATACATACCAAGAACTCCCAAATCCGAGTTCAAATGACCCATCAAATCCTAATTGTTTGGTTTCAAAATTCAAGCCCTAGTTCTTGATTTGTAGGCTTATATTTCATGAATCTCTAGGTGGAATTCACAATAAAAACGAGTTCTAAGTCCAAGAAACTTACCTCAAGTCGTTCCCCCTTGAATCCCTCTTTAATCTCCACCAAGAAGCTCTCAAAATGATCAACCATGGAGGAAAAATGACCCAAAATCACGGATGAAGTGTTTTATAAACTCACTGCCCAGAATTTTTCAGAAGTACTGTTCACGCGTGCGGTTACTGTTCATGCGCGTGGTCACTGTTCACCCGCGCGGTTACTGTTCACGCTGCTAAAAAAATACAGCAGCAGCCAAAGAAATTGCAGCACTTTCGTTTTACTAAAATGACTCTAACTCCATAGTACATACTCAGAATTCGATGATTCTTGTTCCTATGAGTCACAAATAATGATACGAATATATTCCTTCAATCAAAACTCAATTCGGAGCTCGTTTGCTCACTGCGATATCCATTTTGCTCGTTAAACAATTAACTCATATTTCGTGTCAAAAACCCAATCGCGACTTGATGAAATCAGACCAAACTTTCCAGAACACTCCTATAATTCATTATTTAAATTCTGGAAATCTCGAAATAAAATTTCGATCTCTAGAACTAAAAATGGACCTTTGGATCATTACATGCTTATGCTCAAACGACAAAAATCTTCCAAAAACTCTTCCAAAACTTATCCGAGCCTCATGGGACCCCGACCAAACATGCCAACATAATTCATAACATTATTCAAACCTCTTCCAATCATCAAAACACCTCAAACAACATCAAATTACCCAAAACTCATCGAATTCAAGCCTAATTTTCTAAAAACTTCCGAAAGACACTTTCGATCAAAAACCCAACCAAACCACGTCCGAATGACCTAAACTTTTGCACACATATCCCAAATCACCTAACGAAACTACAACAACTCTCATAATTTCATTCCGACTCTCGGATCAAAATCTCACCTATCAACCGGAATTCGCCAAAATACTAACTTCGCCAATTCAAGCCTAATTCTACACCGGACCTCCAAAATTACTTTTGATCACACTCCTAAGTCACAAATCATCCCCCGAAGCTAACCGAATCATCGAAATTCAAATCCGAGCCCTCTAAAACATAAGTCAACGTCCGG